ATTTTAGCCTGGCCAGCGATTCTCGATATTTACAGTCACGGCCTCTTAAGAATTTTGATGAACTTTAGACCAGTGGAGGTAAGATATTTTGAGCTCATAATTACATGTTCATGCATATAAAGTTATCCTGCAATCTGCTAGATATTCAAAGAACTTTCATGGCCGTTTGAGTAAAAGTTTGATCCTGAAGTGCATTAACTGGGGATTTTCCAAATCAATAGTGTTTTTATTTACCTGACTGGTATTTTCTCCCCCATATAAGGCTCCTGGCCCAAGACCTCCATGATTTTGTTCTGCAATTCAATTATTCCATCTGCTTTTCCTTCTTGCTCTGCAGGATATGTTAAGACAAGGGATCTAATGCATAATATTACACAGAAACATGTGCTTACAATGAGCATATAGTTTTTATTACACTTGCATGATTGCAGAGATTTTCTAGCTGACATCATAGCCAAAATGATAGACTCTCACCTCCCCAAAGTTTAGCTCTTGTGTTCCTTCCTTCAAACTCCCAAATTTATAGGACCCAGTAAAGTGCTGCCAGTATATATAAAGTAGCTGCATGAAAACTAAGAAGAATGCAACTAATGAAAAAAAAAAAAACCTAGTCTAAACTCTAACTTGCATTCACTCATAGCCTTAACTCATTCTACCAAATTTTAAAATTCTAATGAAACACAACACAATAATGTTTAATGACATGTAACAAATGTGAGTCAGATAATATTGTGTGCTTATAATGCTTTCCAACCAAAATAAAGTGTTCTTGGTACTCCTGACTGACAGACAGGCTCGTAATACAGTCATCAATTACTGCAAGTAACATATGGTGAAGGATACAACATGAAGTCTGCATCTTACCCGTTTTATGTTTTCCTCTCTGCTTTCGACTCTTCTGGATAAATTTGTTGATCAAACTTGGTCTCTTTGTGTTGTCAATGCACAATAAGGGTCTGATGACATGCTTTTCGTATTCCATACCAGAAATTCTCTCCTGTATTTTTTTCTTTATCACTGCTATGTCTTCAACTGGTTTGTCAGCATGTGTGCCAACAATGAACACTGGCGGACGGAGATAAGGCAGCTTCTGTTGAGCATCATCATCTGTGTCATCAGTTGCTTGGGCAACACTATGCACTGTAGCCAGCCATGATAACAAATTCTCCATGTTTGTTTCATTGTTACGGTTTGCCAATTTCACATCATTACATCCTTGCCTCACACAGGGCTCAGCTGGGGCATCCAAAGGTTTGCTTAGATTGTGCACCAATATGTACAGTGCTCGCTGTGATAAGAAGATAGGATGGCTGGCATAGTACAGGTGCTGCCCTGCAAAGTCCCAAATATCCATTGTAACATAGGATTCCTCTGTGAATAAAGCACTTTTGATGGGTTTGCCTTTGGCATACTTTAACCACTGATCAACATGCTTTGCAGTATCAGGAGGTTGAGCAACATCAATCATCACATCAGGCTCAGCTTGTATTAAGTTTTCATCTTTGCATTCAGTAGTAGAATGATTACTTCCACTGTTTTGCAGAACATCTGTGAAACCTTCTTTATCCTCAACCTCAATGGAGAATTAAAGGAGATAATATGCTCGCTGTAAGTGCGTATACTGATGTAACCAAAGCTTAAAGTTATGAACTGGCTGCTAAATGTTAATTTTAAAAAAAAGTTATGATCAGCTCAGTCTAGAACAGTTTTAAAGGGGGTAAGTTTCTATAATAATAAGCAGTTCTGACTACATATGGCTACTGCTGCTACATCTCACACATTTATGAGTGCCCTGTTCCACAAGAGAGAGATGATTCAAGAATATAGTGACTAATTGACACTCAACCAATAATTAAATGGTAAATAATAATAATATATTAACAACAATATAGTATAATAATATGATAACAATATCAATAGTAGCGACAACTTATATGGGTTAGCTCAACAACCTCACTGTTCCTCTATTGCTCTATCCTCAAGGCTCCAATAATGATTACACTAGGCTTCTTTTAATTTCAATTTTGCCTGTTAATTTTAAATGATTTTCTTATTTTATTGCAGTTCCATTTTATGAGAGACTTGTTTTACACAACTAGGCATTCTGCATTGTAGGACATTTTGCCACTCTGTTGTTCCACCATTCCATCATTCCATCAAATAGGGTCACCCCAGGTCACCCCAGGTCACCCCATTAAACTCAAGGTATTGTATTTCGGATCTGGCTCACTTCACAAATTAAGTGGCTCTTTGAACCATTTGTTGCTAATTGAAATGGTAAATGCTCTCTTTTCAAATAAATAAAATTTTTCTTCAAAGTTTCCATGATGTGTAGATCAAACCTATTTAGACATTTCTGCCTGGAAACATCTTTTTTCAATCATGTGTTGGAGATGCCACTGCGACATTATCAGGAGATAATGTTTATTATCTTTTATGGTGTTACAGCAAGAACTGAAAAAATTATATCTTCGGATCTACTGGGCATAATTCGCTGATTCAAATGGTTAAAGGCTCTCTCTTTTCAAAAAAAAAAAGTTTTTCTTTTCAGTTTTTACGATACACTGATCATACCGTTTAAGGCATTTCTGCAAAGTAAAGCTTTGTTTTTTCATGCATCATCCTGAAATTATTGTGAGATGTTTATCATCTTCTGTAGTACTCTGGCCAAAACAAAAAAAAGTAGCAGAGGGAAACAGTGTGATCACATACTAATTTTGAGTGACATTCAAAGTCACCAACCAATGAAGGACTGAAAATGTTCTAAAACAAATAAATTTCAAGAATGTTGGATAAAACTTGGCAGAAGTCATTGTGGTTTAAGAAGTGGTTCATAGTCTATTGTTACACTGACTCACCCAGCAAGAGGCAGTAGCCATAAAAAATAAGCTGCTGCTTTGGTAAGGGGGGGGGGAGGGGAGGGGGTATAACAAGATAACTTGGTTTTATCAACTGAGTTGACAATGCAAATAAGCTACCTGATGAAGAAATTGTAATCTTTATGGTGGCCAATTTACCATTTCAATTTTGTTGATATCTCCAAATTATTTCGTTACCCCCACCGACGCAGCCTCAAACAGTTTCTTTAGAAACTATCAGCCTTTATACCTGATGAAGAGTTTCTCAAGCTGACATTTCCATGAAGAAATCAAGGAGCAAATTAAACTCTGTCAGGCTGGAGCTAGAAGACTGTTGTGCTGCTTTAGTGAGGGGGAATAAGAAGATATCTTGGTTTTATCAACTGAGTTCAAGATGTAATTTGGCTATTGTAAAGAGTTCTGAAGCTGACATCTCGAGCATAATACTGCCTTTAGTCAGAGAGAAACTTAATTGCACAGATAAAGACATAGAAGAGCACATCATCCCAACCATGAAGTGTTTGTTGAGACTGAAGTTACCTAACATACACACATACATTTACTGAAGCTCCTCCATAGGGATTTTACAGCCACTAAGAGTTTAAAAATTGACATGGACATGGACAAAACAAAACAAAAAAAAAATTAAACTAAAAATGAACATACAATTGGAAGAAAAAAATTTCAAAGTTCCTTTAAGTGGAGTGAAGACACCACTAGAAATGCAAGGAGAAGAGAAGAATGAAACAATCAAAGGACGTCTATTTATTATGGTAAAATTTTTGGCTTTTAGTCAAGATGTTTATATAAAAGTACTTGCAAAGCTCTTTCTTACTTGATTTGTAAATGAGATTCAAAACTCATCTAAACATTTTTGAAACATCCAAATTAAAGAAACAGACCATTAAAGACACATCCTAGATGTAAGAAAGGTGTTTTTTGGTTAGAATTTTCATGAAAAAAAAAAGAATGTTAAGAAATATCACGTTTCAATTCCAATTCATTCTCTTAAAAAATTAAAATGCACAATGTTTATTTCTCATGAGGCTTTGTCTGCCTTCCTCCCTCCTCCTCCTTTGTAATCCTCCATTCCTTTTCTGGCCCTCCCTAAAACGAAAAGAGTAATATCTAGACATAATTAAAACTCTCAAACCTGCTCTGACTTGAAAACATCTCCACCTTCATCTCTTGAATCCAGTTTTCCTCCATAAATTAAATTGTCTTCCTTCGAAAATTTTTTTTGAGAAATATGTTCTCTGCACATTCTGTTAGCCACAATCTTTGCAACATCTTTTGAACATTCCAACAGTCCTGGTTTACTCTCCCTGGTAAACTGCCAGTTCTTTACAGCTTGGTTAACATCAATTTCACACCTTGAAGGATCAACTTCAATCCCCTCAGTACTCTGTTCTTTAGGGTCAAATGGAAGGCCTAAAAGACTCTTCTTCAAACTGGTTTTACCAGCACGATCCTGACCAACCAGTAAAATACGACCACGATAAACTGTGACATATCCATCTTTCAAAGCCTCTTCATAAGCTTGCTGTGCTGCTGGTCCTTGTGCCATTACTAATTGAATAAAAAATTGTCATGAGCCAAAGGAAAAGCAATTTCTGCCTCAATAAATTTCAACAAAATCTGACAAAAGCAAGGACATAAGCCAACAAATCAACTTCTCTAAATGCCTCTTGAGGCATGAATAAAGTTAGAGACTAAGCTAGGCCTCTATTTAAAAATTATACAATAAATATTAATAGTGTTTTCCTGAAGTTAAATGCATAAGCAAGTTTGGTAAACATATACACCAATACTAAACTGACTCAATGAATTATATGGTACCTATATAATAATCAGAAATCAGTCTATAAGCTAAAAGTAAATTAAATTAGTTTTATTCCCAGTACTTCACAAATCATACAAGTCTAAAAATGTTGTATATGATGTAAGCTTAGTTTTTCAATTTTTAAACACTTTCCATTCAATAGAAAACAAAATGAAAACAAAAATCCTTAACTGTGAAATGATCGACTCACAATAAATTTTCTCCATTCTTATACTTCCACTAAAATAGAAAGCAAAACTCAAAACAATAATTACTATAGAATAATTTGTAATAAAATCTACCCTTCATCAATTCCCCATAAATCGATTAAACTATTATGTACTAATTGACTGAGTGGGAGAGCCAGATAGGCAAATATTTCGCTTGAGGTTACGAAGTACAGACTGAGTGCAGAAAGGGTCCGTGCCTCATGACCATGTAATGAAATCCTTTCCTTTATTTATTTATTTTTTTTTTTGAGTCAGAATAAGAAACTCCCATTTTCTTGGGCTTTTTTTCCTGTTTTCCTTTGAGTTATTGCAACAAAGCCAAATGAGGGCAACAGAGCTGGATGGCTTTTTGTGGACCTGCTCATATCAACCTGCCTCAGGCCCTGCACATGTCAGCTTTCACCATGATTTTCTATGGGATCAATTGCACAAGCAGGGCTGGACAGGTCATGCGATAAATAACCTTATCAAGGAACTTAAATTTCAATGTCAGTCAAATTGTCCAAATAACGTTTTTCAAAATTTAGCTAAAACTTCCAATACAAATTAAAGCCATATGTATAAATTTCTAAAGTGATGTCAACATTACTAAATCATACACTAGCTGTGACAGTATTTACTTAATTCTCAGGCTTTGTTATGCAACTATTGTAAGCTGCCTGTAATCACCAGTAACAAGCAGCATATAACACTTACAAGTCAACCATTTGACCCAATCTAACAAATGCACATGTTGCAACATTAATGTGAAGAGGAATTTCCTTTACTTACCTGGGATATCTGAGGTTATGCTGTAAATCTTATCCTTTAGCTCCATAACACTTCGCATTCCTTCAACTGTAAAAGGATTCCCTTTCACATGCAATTCCTTGAGTTTCTTCAGCTGAGTTATAGCTGGACTCAACACAGTCAACTGGTTGTAACTCATATCCAGTCCCTCCAGTTCCACCATCTCGCCAATAGCATCAGAGATGGTGGTTAGTTTGTTATCTGAAATGTACAGCTCTTTGAGTTTATTCAGCTGTTTTATAGCTGGACTCAACACAGTCAACTGGTTGTAACTCAGCACCAATCTCTCCAGTTCCATCATCTTACCAATACCATCAGGGATGGTGGTTAGTTTATTATGTGAGATGTCCAGCTCTTTGAGTTTCTTCAGCTCCGTCAAACTTGTGGGGAATATGGACAATTGGTTTCCTTCCACATAAAGTCTGGTAAGGTTACTCAATTGTCCAAAATTTTCAGGTATTGTTTTAAGTTTAGTCCATGACAGGTCAAGTTCCTCCAACTCAGTTAATTCCACCACAGCTGCAGGCAATACAAACAAACTGTGAAGTGACAGACATAAAATCTTTCTTCCATAATGTGTCCTGATCTTCTTTCTCAGTTTTTCTATTGAATATGATTCCATGTCCTTGATATGGAACTATCAGAACAAAAATAAAAGCTGTCATCAAAGGTGAGTGCCTCGTACTAACTTACTTTGGCATTATTACCTTTGAACCGACAATGGCATTAGAATGAGGTTCAAAAGCGAACATTTACTAAACCAAGCTAATGATTTATTTCTCTTAGTACAATCTTTGGAAGCTATATACACCCTATAGTTCTCTTTTAAACACTCTGAGTTAAAAGGATGTATATGTGAAAGCTCTATTTCTTTATTTTCTTGCAAGACATTTTTACTTAATCTTTTTGTATAATTTTTTGTTTTCATACACAATTACCTAAGTTATACAGTCATGTTAATGACATAATTTTTATGGCAATTATGAACTACTAGATATATTTGATTTTAAACAGAACTCTCCATGTTCCTTTAATAAGAACATTAATATAGACAACTCTAATTAAAAACCCAAATCCAGCCGGTAATTAAGCATCATTGGAAGTTTATGATTGGTTTTGTTTTGATGAAAATTAATAACCTAAGACTTAAAAGTGAGAAATTTATGGAAACATGGCAATAAATAGTAAGTTCCATCTGTCAGCTGGATTTTTGGACCAAGCTTCTCAGACCTCACCTGAGATTTTGTGCCATATTGTTGTTTTTATTTGCAATTAAATGAATGAAGAAATTAAAAAAGATTTCTGCTTCTTCAAGAATTAATTTAGTTGGTCCTTCTTTCTGATGTATTAATGATTCCAATTTAATGGCAATTTATGAGCAATTTGTGCAGAGTATAATGACAACTTTAAGTTGAACCTTATCATTTTCGATTTAAGATGTCATGCATGTGAAACATTGTCTGAACTTTTTATATTTACCAAGTTAGGTGATGAATATCCCTGATACAAAAAAAGTGAGTAAATATTTGTGTCTAAAGCATAACAAAAATGTAAAAAATAGGTACAGAAAATAAAAAAAAATAAAAAACTGGAGATAGTTATCTAGAACACATAAGTACTGATAAATTGAGATCAGACTTCGTTAATTTGCCTCATCAACATCAAGACTGCTCCTACAATGTATATATATACTACTTGTGCTTGACTACTGGTTGGATAAAACAGTACCAAAGATAAAGTAATATTGATATCCTTTGGAAGGCACTCTGCTACCAAAACTTCATCACATGGGGAAAAAGTTTTGGCTTACAATAAAGGACTTCTTATGACAAAGGTAACAAAAGCAACAAAGACACTTCAAGCTAATTAGCCAAACACAAAAGCTTGGCACCTACAAAAATCGTTAACGTTATTGTCACATGATGTATCTGGCCTAGTGTCACTCTTTGTCGAAAGCTCCAAATGAAATGGGTATTAAATAGTTTGGATATATCAACAAAGTTGAAATGGTAAATTGGCCACCGTAACGATTACAAAAGCTGATGTTTCGAGCGTTTGCCCCTCGTCGGAGCGAAAAGAGGAATAATGGGTTGTGTGTGCTTTTTAAGACAGAAAGTGGAGCTACGTCATTGGTGGGAACATGACAACAAGAAAAACATGAATAAATTAGTGGAATGAAAAGCGTTCGTTGATACCTGTGGGTATTATCTTGTTCACTGTTAATAGTTATTAATAGTTATTTGTGTTAATTTTTTTATGGTGCTACATTTAGTCTTTTCAACAGCTCCCAGGATCTATCAATGATAGCAAATTGATCAATTCATGTAAAAAATAATCATTAATTTAGAACTCAAATAAAGCATTCACAGGAATGAAATTATTCACCTTGGAACAAAATAATTTACCAATAATTATGTCCTTGAATATATACTGGATGCAAGACCAGTGTGAGGTACATGAGGAAAAAAATGACTAAAAAACTCGTCTCACTGCAACAAAACCCTACTTAATTTTCAGAACCTATATAATTCACATATATCAGAATTCAAAATGTTTAGGAGAGAAACTTTCCATCTGAAAATGTCACTTTTCATCTGTCAATCACAAGCTAAATGGCTAATTTTATGCATTTCTAATTTCTATAAACTGAAATCTGGAAAAAAAAAATCAGAAAAAAGTAAGACTGTTGCCAGCAGCTCCAACAGTTGCATGGTACATTGGAGTATGAATGCACTTGGGAAGTTTGGAGAGCTCTTAAGAAATTCAGTAGAGTTGCTGCATGTGCACGACAGAGCTGAATAACGTATACACATGGGCCAGGTTTTGCCGCGGAAACACGGAGTTTGAGTCATTTGCATGGTTGATTTCCTATTCTGTTGCTTCCAGGCGTCGTTTTCCTTGCCGCTTTTCTTTTACAGAACAACCTCCAAAAATTTGGTACACCCCCTAAAACTTTTCAAAATTATTTTCTCTTTTAAACCTTTGGAAATAGGAAAGTGCCTTTGACGAAAACACAGTTCCTCGGTTTTAAAGGTCAGCCCTTATTGTTTTCCGCTAATTTCGCCAAATTTTAGTCCTAGGACACTTGAGCCCGCTTTGTTGACCGCATACCCGCTGACGTAGCATTTCATTATTCAGCTCTGTCCATGTGCACTGCATCTGAAGCAACTCATATCCTTCTCTGGTGCTCTGCTAGCTTCCCAGGTGCATCCAATCAGTGTAGCTTGAAATACCCTGAGGCTAGGTAGATGTATGAACAAATTATGAAAGCTGTATCACTCTAAATCTAAGCTTTTAGAAAAGCAATACAAAAACTGCATTTAATAAGAGTGAAACTAAACACAGAATACAGACATGTCCAACAGCTAAGCTTCCAGAGAATCCTTCCTCAAACTTATGTTTTATGGTTCACTTCTGATAAATTACATGCAAGCTCTGTCAAACATTACTCAACCAAGTGCTGACAAGACGTTAGCTTGATAAACGTTGTAGTTAAATAGATGTAATTGCTTTATTTTATTGTATAAATTCAAGGACTATCTCAAAACGAAGTGCATTGCTCTCTTGACCTTTGATTGCTAACATGTCAAATTAAAATCAAAATCTTTACTCAAATCAAACAACAATTTTAAAACCCGTCAGGCTTTTAACGAAAAAGAGTGTGTTTGTCTTAGAACTAGACAAGGAAAGTTGTTGAAAATGTAAGAGAAAAATAATATTCACAAACAAAAACACAATTTACAATTACAGGTACTAAGAACTGAAAATGTTAGCATAATTGAATTGCACATCACAAATATATGCTGTTACCACATCTTACTAAGAAAGATAGTTGATGATCGAATCACAACTAATTGAACGGAAGGTTTAGGAGTTGAAATGATAATTTATCATCTATCGATCACGAATGCAGCCTTTAAAGCAAGTTCAGTTTCTAATCTAACTAATTCCTTCATAATGATCAAATTAATCATGCATTAATCTAGTTTCTTTCTGTCAAATAAAATCAAGTAAAATCCTTTGAAACCTGCGGGTTTATCGTCATCAGTTCAAATACTTCTGTGCTTTATTGTGAAATACTGAAAACTAATCGACGTTCAACAAAATAATACCGAACAGAATAAACAATATACAAGGCAATAACAACTAAGCAAATCTAAGAGACGAGAGGACTAAGCGGCTTATCTATAATTTTACGTATAGGTCCCCCTCAATGTAAGATAAGAAAGTTATTTACTGAACTAGACTTAACTAAAATGATATACTAATCGAGAAATGACGGCAAAAAAACACTTCAGAGGAAATCATCACGCTAGTTTGATTGAACGGAGAGAGTACGAGTTCTCAGTTGAGTTAGCTGTGTTCGCATTTCAGGAGTCTAGCGAGGCTACACTTTACAAATAGGATAAATTCTTATCTGTGTTGAATCTAATTCTTACCTCTCAGTAAAGTAAAACGACAATTTCGGCGAACCCTAAATAAGGAAATTAAAGTCAGATCATCGATAATTCTACTGCTTGGACCTTTGAAGTCACACGATCCCAAACGCACATTTTTGTGCGACCTCTCACACATCAGACATACCACGCGATGACGCGATGGCGCAAAGGGATTGGCACATGTGTAGACTAGAGCAGGGGATGGGGGCGGGGGGGGGTAGCCTCTGTGTTGCGTCAAAGGACAAGTAAAGTAGTTAATTGGCTTTTGAAAAGGTATCAAATAGTATTTGATAAAGATAGTTCAATCGGTTTTAATACTAATAAAAACTTCCAAGCGTTTGATATTCATCACAACAAAGGTTTCTCAGCAATTTGTCGGAGAAAAATTTATTCGAGGGGAAACATTTGCAAATACTAGAAACATGGGCAACTAATAGTTTTCAAGTTATATGACTGGAATACAAGCAGAAACTTTTGAAGAATTGGTGGAAACGGACAAAAATGTGGAAGAAAACAAACAAGAAAAGCAAGAAGAAAAAGAAAATTCTCCGTTCACGGTCGTGATTTTCCAAAAACTTAGCCGCATAAGCAGGCCTAATAAAATGATAATTTTATTGTAAAAGCAAATTGACGTCAATTGGTTAAAGGACACAGTACGACGCTCAATAAGGAGAAAATCACTGACAGTAAAACGCGAATATTTCAGGGTAAGAAATAAGTATAAAAAGTAAAATGCACGCTGCTTTATCGTCATATGCGGTCCTAAGTTTCCGCTGGATCTCCCCTTTACAGTCTGTCAGACCTGTATTCTCCTACAAACCACACCAAGATCCTCAGATCATTTGACGATGACACATACAGTGTCAAAATATTGCAGGAGTTATATTTGGAGGAAGAATAAGTTTTGCTTTGTTTTTTATCGGGAACACATTGCTGCGATTTGACTCTTGAGATTTCTGCTCTGAAATAATTTCTTGTTTGATAGAGGCGCTTTCAAGACTTTCTGTGTCTTCTTGAAGTCTTAAGAATATTCCAGCTTTTGAACTAATTGGAATTAACATCGATCTTCTACTCCTGATCGTTGCTATCTTTACCCACAGTTATTGACCAAGTGTTCGGCCAAGAGTCCTTGAGGGGGAGAGGGCAAGGTGGGAGAGGGATTAATGAGGGGAGAGAGGTGGAGGGTAGGGTAAAAGAGGATGTAATGAGGGGGTAGGGGTGTACTAATTTAGTTTCGCTGTCAACAAACTATCACTTTGCTTGAACATTCGATAAATCTCCGTTTCAAAATGTTTTCTATCTTCCCTCCCGGTCCCTCATACCCAGTCAAAGGTGTGGCTATGATCACGGGTGCTGTCTAAGAACAGGCGTAGATATTCTTGGATTCTTTTTCTCAGAAATTTACAATAAGTATTAAAGAAGCTGCATTAAGGAGAGTATTGGGAAAAAAGAAATGCTAGTATCCTTAAATTGTGTCATAAAAAGCATATTTGTTTAAATCAGTATTTATGTGATTACTGTAACTTAAAAGCGCTAACCGCTCCAGCTGCGTTTACAAGAAGCGTATACAAGCACTGCAAGTATTTGGCAAACAAATCTACCATACCAACAAGATATTTCAAACCTTCACTTCAAACACTGAATTTTATTTAAACATGCTCTATCGCTCCTCGTGGATATCAAAAATATTTCGCGTAAATTGTTCAAGTTGGGTGTTTTCAAATTCACTGTCTTTTTCCAGTTTCCAGTCTAAAGCGCACGTAAATAAAAAATTTCTTCTTGTGCTTTCAGTAACGTAACGAAATATTTTACGGTGAATTATCTTTTCTTCAAGCTTTTCAGTTTTTAAAGAATTATCCACACCGTAACAACTACTCAATTTATAGGGAGAGACTTCTCCCGAAAGAAAACTTTTAAACTTCTGAGAGACTTTGTTTCTTCTTTAGGCCCAAGGCAAACTTTTAGCCACATCTCACTGGCCAGGTTTTTTTTTGTTTTTTTTTTCTTTTACAGAGATTTGAGCTGAGTATAATGACTGTGTAGATAGCCTGTCTTTTAACCTGTAAAAACAACAAAAACAAAAGATCGATTAGAAAGCAAAGGAGAATAAACTGCATCAAATCATGACGCCCTTCGATTCTACAAACTGAGTCGAGCCATTAAGCGTCATTTAGTACTGGAAAGAAATTTATGAAAACCTCCCACGTCATCACGTATGTTAAATGACCAAAGAAAGAGAATGAAGAGGAAAATGGAGAAAAAGCCCTGAGGGTAAAGCCTGAATTTACTGTCATCTCAAAGTTAAGAGGGAGATTTATGATTCTAAGTAACACATTAAACGAAATACACTGTTATGAAATTAAGACTACAATTGCTAATTGAAATGTAATGGCTGTACCTTGCGCGGGTTGAAGGCTGACATAGTGCACTTCATGAATATGTCCCAGCACAAGTGCTTTGCTTTCGTCAACTGGACAATGTGGCGTAATGATTACATCATTGCTAAGGTGTAGACTGCTGACCACATGGATGCACGTTTTATAGTAGTTTGCTGCGGCACACAAAATCACATGATCACCCCAAGCGCCATCTTGTTCCATGAGTGTCAGGTATTCAGTCCATGTTTGATGTCCATGGACAAAGTGAAACAGATCTGTCCCATCCGGCTGTAAGAATATCAGTTCAAGAAACAAACTTAAAGAAGGTTGTTGATAGAAACTTGAGCGCGTGGAGTACGAGTCATCGAGTAATTTCATCAGAACGCAGGTACAAGAAGACCTTTAAGTTGCAACTTACGGTAGAACAACAAGGCTTTACAAACAGCAGAAAAACAACAGCTAGAAAAGATCCATCATTAAGAGTATAACTGAAATTCATTGTTATCTGATGGATGTTTAAGGGGGAAATTTTTCAAACCGAATATTTCAATTGAGAAAACCGTAGAAGTCTGCTACTTCGGAGACCATATTAAGTAACAAATGAATTCAACTGTAACCAACATCATTGTGTGGTCTCTTAAACAATAAAGTTCAACCTTTCAGTGGCTCTTTCCATCAGGGGATACAAGCTGGCTACTATCAGAGCTCCTAGAAAGACCATCTTTCCGTACAGGAGTAGTAGCACTATTCCTGGTCACTTCACGCTGTGAACACTGGGATAGGCCCTGACCTGTATACACACTTAACCTCTATCATACTCTTAAAGAACATCACGTGAGATATTCTGATAAACATACTAACATCAACTTACTAGTTTTGGGTTACTCCTGAGGTACTGGACCAAGGTTTGTCTTAATCTGCCAGCTAAGATTCTGATTCCTTTAACAATTTCCAGTTGTTCAGACAAGGCATAGAACATGCAATTTCCTAACCCTTGATTGTCAGATATTTTGAAGCCCTTGTCCGATGCAATATTCCTCAGCTCTAATAACAGATCTGTTCTGCTCTTGACTTTGCTTGCATCGAGTTGCATCTGCTGAAGTTCCTGGATGATTCGGTCGAGAGAACCTAGAAGACACAAAGTCTTTATCAATCTTACTGCATGAAAGAAGCGAAACAATTGTCAGCTCAAAAATAACAATTTCCAATCTAGTAAAAGAAACTTGGAGCACTAAAAAGGGAAAGAAGGGCTTTAACCACCAAACAACCGATCTTTTGTCCAACAACTGAGCCTTGAAGTGACACACTGACAGTCAAATGACTTTTTGGGTTCGTTATTTGCCCGTGGACGAATTTTGCATAAAAAATCGAGAGAAGAAGAGGTAGAGACAAAAAATATCTACAATCTAGCATATCTTTCAATCCTGGAAAAAAATTCAAAGCTTTAAAGAGATACTGATGTATTTCTTCTGCCGTAGGTATTTATGACTACATCTATACTTTTTGAAGGACAAATGAATTGTGAATAGAACTTAAATTGGTTTCGACAGGAACAGCATTTTAAAGTCTGGTTTCTTTTTGAGAAAAAGAAAAAGAACGCTTTTAGTCCTCCTGAATCAGGAAATTGAAGTTTGTTTCCTGGTGAAATGGGATAAAGACTTGAATTGATTAAAAAGTATGTAACACCAAGCCATCCGTCTAGATCGGAAGTAAAAGAATATCAAATTTTTTCAAACAAGTCTTAAGACTGTCACCGAAGATTGCAGAGGTATAAATAATAACATATGTTACCTTAGTGCAAAAAAAAAAAAAGTTATTAAAAGTACTATTTTGAAAAGACGAAGCTGGCCTGAAGAAAGGTAGAAATGTTAGATCTTGGATTCTGTCTGTACTTATTTGGAAATATTAATTACCATGAATTATAAGTATTATGTTACTTACTTGGAGTCAGTAATGAATCGACTGCTAGTTCTTCAGTCGACGTCTCGACATCTTCGGCCTCCTGAGCTTTGAATCCTGTGTCTCGTCCTTTAGAAGCTAAAAAGATCCAAAACCTTCTTCAATATTACACCAATTAACAAGAGGATAAAACAAGTGCTTACTATTCAGGTTCAACAGTTTCTTTTTATATGGGGTACCAGCTTTTCATGACGATTTATAGAAGACCAAAAGCCGAGTAGCCCCCAAAAACACTCTTTGAAATACAATCAAATCATTCTCACCATGAACTATGTCCCGCATCTTCTCCACAAGAATGTCACACTGTTTCTCCCAGCTGTAAATCTCTTCATAGGAAGTCTTCAGTTGCTGAATCTCATAAAGTCGGTCTGATCTTTCCTTCTGCCGGACAGCAGCAATGGCCTTTGCCCACTCCTTGGGGTCCTCAGACTCAATCACAAATGATTTGCCTGAAGGTACAGTCCACAATGCTTCACCACATCCTGAGTTGCCACTGACAAGAATGGGTACACCGGCTGACAAAGCTTCTAAGGCCGCTAAACCAAAACCCTCCGTTCTGGAGGGCATCACGCAGAGATCAACTTCCCAAAACAATTCTTTCAATCTCTCTTTACTCTGTACGAACTTCCTCACGGTCAGCTGACTTTTATCAATTCCACTCTTGAGCAAATTCGCTGCAACCTCATCCTGTTTACCGTCAGCTGCACCCACGAAGATGAGAGAGTAAGATCTGTCTTTCAGTTCAACTATTGCTCTGGCAGAGATATCGTACCCTTTCAGGCTGAAGTCCTCTGGATCACCACGGCCAAACGTCAGTACCTTGAACTTTTTACTCTCCTTTGGGGCATGTTCTACGTCAGAGAATTCACGGAAAGTTCCAGGAGTCAGTTGAAGGATGTCTTCGTGACTCTTGCATGAGCGGAGCTGAGGGGAGAAAGCTTCTGTTAGCTTTGGTCCAACTGCTATGACAGCGTCTGCCAACTTACACAACTCCACTTCAGTTAAATTCTTCTCTTGACCTTTGGAAATAGCCTTGGGGTAGTTTTTGTGCATTCCAAGTTCTTCAGGTGCAGTATGCACTACCTGTATCCACCTGCACTGGTGCGATTCTCTAATAAACTGGGATTGTTTACCAAGCTTTGTTCCATGACCCAGTACTATGTCAATGGCAAGATCTCTCGGTGGGGCACCCAGCCAGTCAAGGGGGTCGGCATAGCCCGGACGTCTTTTTGCCTCTCTCAGGGATACATTGTGACTCGATGCCATTCTCCTCTCTTCTTCAGAACAGGCAAACTGAGGGACAAGGAGAGTGACGTCCACTTGCGGATGTTTGGCCAACAGAATGGCAAGCTGTCTGTTTAGGGTGGACAAGCCTCCCATTGATGAACTCCACTCGCTGCCCAAGAGAGTCACCTTGAATGCCGTTTCAGACTTCATTGGATTAATTTCACTTGTTTCACCGTGAGGTTTGGCAGCTAGATTTGAAGAGGATAAACCCTAAATAAAAAGAAAACGTCATATAGGATTATGACAATTAGATAACACAACATTTTATGTGTGTGATTATATATTTAGATATATAATGATCAGTACTTAACCATGGAAAAACAGAAAAGTGTAAACTTCAAAAATAATTTCATTCTCATAAAGTTTCTCTGACTTATATTTGAAACTAGAGACAGACCCTCAAGATTACTTTTCTCAACACTGATAACTGAACATTTGATTTCCAAATCAAATAAAACAGGGGAGAGAACTTGCAAAGATGAATGTGAGGCTAGAAATCTGCACTTGAAAAATCATTTTAATCGATCATACCTGCCTTCTTCTTTTCATAAACCATTTCTCCAATCCACAGCAAGGAAGTACTTTGTCCCCAAGTTTTCTTTTACATATTTCTGCTTTGCCTTCATTTGCATCAATGAGATGGTAGCAGTTCTCATGTGTGCACGTGGTTTTAACGTGGTCTGAGCATGCACGACGTGGTTCTTCTGCCCCTTGATGGCAGTAAGGACATGCAACACACAGCCTATACTGCAGTCCCCTCAGGTATGGCATTTCTTGTGACAAATTCTGTAGGGTGTCTTCAAGAAATTCACGAACAACAGTTGCTAGTTCGGCGGAGGTCTGTCCTACAACTTGATGACTTTGTGTTCTTTGTCTCAAGATTACCTTCACAAATCCTGTATTGCATATGAGGACAAAGTCATGAATATCTTTCCCAATGATGAACCATGCTCCATTTTCGTACAGGGTAGGTTGATGCGTGGGCCATGTCCTTGAACACCAACGAATGGATTGTGAGACAAGCTGTAAGAAGAGACCATGAGGGACAAAGCCATGGACAAAGTGGAGATACAATGGACAGGGATCTGCTGACGATGGTTTCATCTTACAGAGTTCTTCAGGCGATGACTTCAGCTGAGCTGGTACAAAGTACTTCACATCAGTTGGAGAAACTGAGAACTTAGCGATCAAACCAAATTGCTCCATTATGTCTAAGATGTCTTCTTTGATGATGCCTTGTCCAAAAAAGTTGGAGAACACATGATCAACATGCTCCATGCTGAGGATGCCATTCCCTTCAAGTTCCCGCCAGTATTGAGCATGTAGGGGATTCTTTAAAATACAGGGAAAAAAAAAGCAATTCCAGATAAGAAAGGCCGAAATGATTGGAAATTAAACTCTTAATGGGCAATTTTGTATTTTCGGCCGCTTAAAGATGAATACTAGTAGTTATTAACCATGACAGAGGCCAATTAGTGTTAGCGAAAAGAAGTAATCACTTGTGTAAATAAAAATTATGAAATCAATTCAAGTATCTTGCAATTGATGGCCTGAAAAGCTGCAAAAGGTAAATGTACAGTTGTAAAGATTAAAGAGTCACAGCTGTTGCATAGATTATCTATTTCTCCAAAAAGAAGTATCACTCTTAGATTTCTGTTAGTCTTAATTATTGAACAACATTTTCCAAGTAAGCTAGCCTTAAAAATCTGAAAGTAATTTTTTTCACCTGTTTATTGAAAGATGGTATGGTTATCAGCTGCTTGAACAGATCAATCAACCACTGAGCTTTCAGTAAAACTGTACTGCGGTGCTTGATTATCATCCCCTGGCTATGGTAAAAACTGATCATGGCGTCAAACTCTTTTTCATCTTCCATGAAACAATCTTTCCTTGCATAGTGTTCAAGTTGTTTCAGATTTCTGTGATAAATCTGTTTAGCCACCAACGCTTCAATCACCTTTTCAAACAAAAACCACCTAGAAAGCAACAGAATACCTATAAATTGTATTATGGCATAAAGTTGGGTCTTATATTCACTGAGACATGAATGTTTTAAAAGTCCTCGAGTTTTTATACATGTATTGCCTAATACTGTCTCCAACTTTCAAATATAACAGACATGGTATTTTTTGCAACAAACAATGTCAATTCAAAGAACTGTGCCTTATCAAATATCAATAACATTTTTTCATCTTTTAGAATCATAAATCACTTTAAACTAGTGGTGGTAGGATATTTTTTATTCTTTACCTGTACATAAAGTTATGCTGAGTACACTGTGTACCATTTAAAGATTTTATTGTGCCTGTTTGAGGAAAACATTGGTTCTGAAGTGCATAACTGGACTTTTCCATATAAATTGTGCTTTTTATTTACCTGACTGGTATTTTCTCCCCCATATAAGGCTCCTGCCTCAACACCTCCAGGATTGTGTTCTGTAATTCATTTATACTATCTACTCTTCCTTCTTGTTCTACAGGATATATTTTGAAAGGAATTCAAAGGAATACAACACAGAAACATGTGCTTACAATGAGCATTAAGTTAGTATTATACTTGTATGATTGCATAGATTTTACAGATGACAACATAGCTAAGATGATAATATCTTCAAGTTCCCGCATTTTAGGTATTCTGTTCCTTATTCCATGTACTCTGAAATTAATGGATCCATCGGCAAAAGCTATGCATAGATTTTATGGGTGACAACATAGCTAAGATAATATAATCTCTTCAAGTCCCTACATTTAGGTCTTCTGTTCCTTATTCCATATACTCTGAAATCAATGGATCCATCAGCAAAAGCTATGCAGTATGCAGGTTATAAAAAAACAACTCTGACTTTCTTCCACTATAAGTCCTAACTCGTTCAACCAGGGCAGTATCCTTTAATCCCTCTACAAATCCCACTAGAGTGTTCTGTGCATCCATCTGTGTGTATTCAGAATTATAATGAAGCACAACACAGCTGCTGAATTACATGTAACAAATGTGATTCTGCTAATAATTATTGTATGCTCAATGCTTGTCAACCATCTACCAAATGGGCTTTCAGATACAAAAATTGCTACAAATCAAGTGTTCTTGGAATTGACTCAAAAACAGGCTATTATGCAAATATAAAGTCAACAATTACTGGAAGTAACTTATGGTTATAAGGATACAAAATGAAATTAGTGGTGTGTGCACGTTGGCCGACACATTGGTAGGATCAGATTATTTACCTTTATAATGAAATCAAATATCTTACCTGCTTTATCTTTTCCTCTCTGTTTTCCAATCTTCTTCATTAATATTTTTATCAAATTTGGTCTCTGGGTGTTGTCAATGCAGAATAAGGGTCTGACCACATGCTTCTCATATTCCATACCAGAAATTCTCTCCTTTATTTGTTTCTTTACTACTGTTATGTCTTCAACTGGTTTGTCAGCATGTGTGCCAACAATGAACACTGGGGAGTGGAGGTAGGGCAGCTTGGGTTGTGCATCATCATCTGTGTCATCAGTAGCCAGGGCAACACTATGTACTGTAGCCAGCCATGACAGTAAATTCTCCATGTTTGTTTCATGGTTAGGGTTTTCCAACTTCACATCATCACTCCCTTGTCTCAAGCAGGGCTCAGCTAAGGCATCCAAAGGTTTGCTTAGATTGTGCACCAATATGTAGAGAGCTCGCTGTGAAAAGAAAATAGGATGGCTGGCATAGTACAGGTGCTGCCCTGCGAAGTCCCACACATCCATCATAACATAGGATTCTTCTCTGAGTAAAGCACTTTTGATGCTATTGCCTTTGGCATACTCCAACCACTGATGAACATGCTTCACAGTATCAGGAGGTTGAGCAACATCAATTATCACATCAGGCTCAGCTTGCATGTTTTCACCTTTGCATTCGGTAGAATGTTCATTGCCATTGTTTTGCAGAACATCTGTGGAACCGTCATCCTCCTCAACCTGAATGGAGAATTAGATAAGACAATATGCTCACTGAAAGTATACCTAGATATATGTGTATTATATTATGTATATTGTATAAATTATATGCTTAATGCTAAGACTATGACCAGCTCAGTCTAAAATAATCTTAAGGGGGTAAGTTTCTAAAAAAGCTGTTGTACTGTGTAACACGTGCTGTTTGTCTACTATCGGGAGATGTAGGAGACAGTTCTTGATGAGACACAGCAAAGCTTTATTTTTTAGGTTGTCGTGATCAAGCATGTCTAAAGAATGACGTGAGGATCTCAATACACTCACTGAAGAATCATGCGGTCATTATATCACAATCAAGTGTCAGGTGACTCATGAAATAACGAGCTATTGATAACATATTGTAACATACTACTTTAGTAAGGGGTGGTATAACAAGACTACTTCGTTTTATCAACTGAGTTGAAGATGTAAAGTGGTTACAATAAACAGTTCTAAAGCTGACACTCCAAGTGTAGTATAGCCCTTAGTCAGACAGAAACTTAATTGTACAGATTAACGCATACAGTACAGGGCAGAGGTTAATAACTTAGCCAACACACATGCAAAACCTTTGCACATTTTTTGCATTACACACCAAAAAAAAGTGTAATGAAAAGTTTGTCTTTTGCTTTTGTTATTCAATGTAGTCAGCCTAATTTGTTTTGCTTTGCTTTGGTAAACAAAAGATTGAAGTTACATAACATAACATTACATACATTCATTGAAGCTTCTTCATAAGGATTTTTCAGTCACAATATTGTAACAAAAATGAGTAAATTATATATGAGTATAAAAATTTACATGAACAAAACAATTTAAAAAATAGATAACACTAAAAATGGCTATACTATTGAAAAAAAGAAAATAAGGAAATACCTTAAAGTTTAATGAAGACACCACCGGAAAAGCAATTGAAAAATGCCAGAAGAGAAGAAGGGAACAATCAAAAAATGCCTCTATTTGCTATGGTAAAAGTTTTGCTTTCAGTCAAGATTTTAAAAAAATAATAACTATAGCCATTCTTCCTCACTTGTTGTCTAAATAAGATGTTTAACTCTGTCATCTAAACACTTTAACAAACTTCTAAAGAAACAGACTGTTGCAGACATAACTTAAATGTGAGAAAGTGTTTTTCAGATTAGAATTTTCATAAAGGAAAGAATTTTAAGAAAATCAAGTTTTCATTCCAATTCATTATTCAAAAAAATAATACACATGTTTAACTCTCATGAGGCTTTGGCTGCTTTACTCCCTCCTCCTCCTCCTTCCTTTCTTCCTTCATTCCTCTTCTGGCCCTCCTTAAAGCAAAAACAGTTGTAATATAAAATTCTCAACACTTTCCAAAACTCTCAAACCTGCTTTGACTAGAAAACATCTCCAACTTTATCCTTTAATTCTAGTTTTCCTCCATCAACTGCGTCACTGTGGAAATTCTTTGTAAATGGTTCACACCTTCTGTCAGCTACATTCCTTGCTACATCTTTTGAACATTCCAACAGTCCTGGTTTCCTCTCCCTTGTCAACTTCCAGTTCTTTACAGCTTGGTCAACAGCAATTTCACACTTTGAAGGGTCCACTTCAATCCCCTCAGTACTCTGTTCTTTAGGGTCAAATGGAAGGCCTAAGAGACTCTTTTTCAAACTGGTTTTACCAGCACGATCCTGACCAACCAGTATAATACGACCACGGTAAACCTTTACACATCCATCTTTCAAAGCTCTTTTATAAGCCAACTGTGCTTTGCTACCTTTTGCTCCTTCTTCATACAGAAGGTCTAATTAAAAAAAAAGTAGTCATGATTGAGCCAAAGGAAGGTCTAATCAGATGAAGTCCTAGTTATATTAAACCTAAAGGAAAAGCACTTTCTGTTTTCATAAGCTTAAAAAACAATCTGAAACAAGCTTACAGGGGTGTAGAAGTAGATAATTCAATTTGTTTATATGTGTATCATGTACAAATTTAGAAACTGTGATTGTGTATACATGTAAAAGTCACTGCATTGGTGAGTTTGGTAAACACATACACAATGACTATTAAAAATGGGTGACCCCAAAAGCCTGAACAGTGGAACAGCAGAATGGCAGGGCGGGGGAAAATCATCCCAAATCCTAAAACACAGAACTGCGAAAAATGACCCCAAATTCTAAAACAAAGAACGGATGTTAAGACATGTTGTACAAATTTTGTTCAAAGACACCCAAGCCCATGGCTCATGCATCCCCACGACGATAATGCACATGACCAAACTTAGACTGGCGTGAGAGCAAGCCCTTGTTAGGAGCCCTTCCATACAAGTCTTTCTTCATCCACGAATAAGTTTTAGGCCTTGAGTAACACTAGGTGAAGAGAGGTTTGCATGGGGTCATGCAGGTGGGAATTTCTCATGGTGTGAAATGACAAAAGAAAGTTAGCAGAAGGAAGCTGTCAAGAAGAATTTGAAGAATTTCTTTGCAACCAGGTGTCCAAAACACCAGCACCCTACTATGAAATTTACAGCTTACATATCAGTTGAAGAAATAAACTTCCTCAACAAAGCAAAAGGTTCTTTCCCCCAATTCGTTAAGGGGATTAATCTTCTTCTCTTCCTCAACAAATTGCAAATCATTTTATTTATTTATTTATTACAATTTAATGGCTCTGTTGAAACAAATAAAGCTATAAAGTAGGAGTGAAAAGAGAAGAAACGCCATATGGATAATCCTTAAAGGAGTCCAGGACCCCATATGAAAACAGATCACCAAAGTTAAATAGGCTAAAAATATATTACATTGTTTTAAACTAGAAATAATTATTATAAAAATTCCATGGAAGATATTAATTAGACATATTATCCATTAAATACTTCTTAACACCTGCCTTAAAAACTATTTTCACTTGCTGCTCTAAGAGTATCAAAGGGCAAAAGATTCCATTAATCAACTATCCTGTGAAAAAATCTATATTTGAGAGGATTTGTTCCTGCACATTTCTTCTTTAAAGATAAATTATCATCATCAACTCTGTGTTGTTTAAATTGCCCTTCCTGAAAGGGAAGTGTAATTCAGATGGATCTTTGGGTTGTCATGGTTTACCATTATTCGCATGGAAGCAGTTGCCAGACAAAGAAGAGGCCATTAGTCAAGGATACTATGGTTTGCTTCTTGTGCATGGCGTGAAACAATTCTGAGGTCATAATCAAGAAGCTATTAGGTGAGGACGAGAAGGAAAAGAGTCTTCTTCTCAAAGAAGCGAAAATACTCCATGGAAGTAAAAGTGAACCTACTGTTAGGTTTAAAGCTGTGTGCATGGAACCGTGTGCAATGTTGCTTGACTATTTATTTTTCAACTTCACTCCCTTTGGTGGCTCAAAAATTGTTAGCAGTCCAGACTGACTTTCACAATATATTCATATTAATAAGGCAATCAACCAATTTCTTCTTCAAGAAAAGATCTTCCTCCAAATGGCAACAGGGCTTGCACATTTGTATGACGTTGGGATTATCCACTGTGATATAAAGCCTGCCAAAATACTGGTCTCCAACCATCATTATTGCACTTTAAAAGACAGCCAAGAAATTGACCAGGCTTTTCAAACTAGGCTGATACTTTGCAAGCTTAATTGTTGATTTTGCAGAAAGCTTATCCACAATAGGCCACTTTACAGTTGTGTACTTAGTTGCCAAGCCTTTGATTCAGAGTGCTGAAGGTGACCTTGTTGTGACAGAGACCTGTATCTACTTGGCATGATAACTAAGTGATTTACATTTGAATGGCAGCAAGGTTTGTATCATAATAAGGTCAACCCTAGTCTCAAGTCCTCCCATTCAAAGGCTTAGCAACCAAGCACACAACTGTAAAATGGACTATTAACCAAACAAAATGTGTGTCACATGGTTATGAACAACCTTGCCCCTGGAATGCCTGCTTATCATGCACCAGAAAGATTTTACCAGAACGGATCAGATCTGTCCTTACTGGACCTAAAGGCTGTGGATATCTGGGCCCTGGGGATGGTATTGTTCATCATTATCAATCCAGACTTGAAGTACCCTTATCAGATAGAGTTGGAAAAGGTTCAAACCAGCAATTGTCTTTCTGTAATAGAAAAGCTAATTTCTAAAAATGAGAGGGTGGTTAACTCGGATCACTATTGCATGCAGCATGCAGTAAATTGCCTCCAACTTCGCAAATTATCTGAATAATTATTGTACGCGTTTCCATCCATCTGAAAAAATGGGGTTATATCCAAGGGAAATTGGGTCTTGTTTGAGTAAGTCCAAGTAACGGGGGGTTTTGAGTTCGGCATGTTCGAGTTAGTGGTTATGTTCGAGTTATGAGTTAGAGTTACGAGTTAGAGTTATGTTCGAGTTAGTTCTCCTGACAGGATCTTTTCTCACCGTGCAAATTAGACAGATTAGTTAAATGGCCTTTTTTTTTTTGTCCAGAAAGTTTATATTTCTTTCACGGATATGAAGCCATAAATTTCATGGGTGAATTAATTAAATTAATTAAATTTAAATTTATACGGCGCAGTTTCTATAAAAATATTCAACTGCGCCTTACAATAAATATTAAATCAAAAATAAAATAGAAGTTCAAAATTACAATTCTAAAATTCCATAATAAATAAATAAATAAATAAAATAATTAATCATTAATGCAATGTAATCATAACAACTATAGTAACAAATGAAATGCCCTATCAAATAAAAAAGTTTTTAAGTCTAATTTTAAAAATATCTAAACTGGAAATAGATCTTATTGTGGTGGGAATAAATAAATAAATAAATAAATAAAATAATTCATCATTAATGCAATGTAATCATAACAACTATAGTAACGAATGAAATGCCCTATCAAATAAAAAAGTTTTAATTCTAATTTTAAAAATATCTAAACTGGAAATAGATCTTATTGTGGTAGGAAGCAGATTCCAAAGTCTAGGGGCGGCACAACTAAACGATCTATCTGCCAGGGTCTTCTTGGATATTATTTTCGGGAAAGAGAATGGTGGTGTTTTGGACACCAGGTTGCAAAGAAATTCTTCAAATTCTTCTTGATGGCTTCCCTCAGCTAACTTTCTTTTGTCTTTTCACACCATGAGAAATGACCATGCATGTGACCCCCTGCAAACCCCTCTTCACCTAGTGTTACTCAATGCGCAAAACTTCTTCATGGACGAAGAAACGCTCATATTGAAGGGCTCATAATGTGGGCTTGCTCTCATGCTAGTCTAAGTTTGGAGTTGGGGCTGAACAGCATTATATTTTGAGAAGCCTGAAAATGTTCCTGTCATGTTCTCACATTTACAAGCATTTGAGATATTTTTGTTTTATGAAATCAATGCAGACGTGACCAGGAAACGTATCAAAGTTACAATAGTTTACTGTAATATTGTACGTCAAGTTAGTATTCACATGCTGTGCGACTTTTTATGCTGCAACTAAAACTCATGGCAAATTTAGCATAACAAAATGCGACTGAACAGGTTTACAAAGTGAAAATGCAGCTATCTTACATGCATAATGGTTTATTATTATTCATGCATTTCCGCCATTCTGCTATTTCCCCATTTCGGCTTTTAGGGTTTTCCATTAATGAAATGAAATACCAAGAGCTTTGATCTCAGTTAAGAAATGCAGAAAGATGTTTTGTGTCTAGTGAAACTTACCATCTTTCTTATTCTCTACAAAACTATGATGATTCAGCACTGCCAATCTTAGCAGTATGCAAGACGTGTATCATATACAAACTTCGTAATGGGCCTTGCTTACCACAGAGTCAGAATCCGAAGGTCAGAGGTTTGATTCCTCATGGGTACTCAATAATTTTCTGTTTGTCCCATCTTTGTGACTAGACAAATAAACATCTTTCTGCATTTCTTTATCAAGCTCAAACCTTACCATCTTTCTTATTCTTTATGAGCTTAATATTGTAGTTATGAGTATTTAATTATAATTCCAATCCAATAGAAAGCAGAAATTACAACTAAATTATTCCTAAATGAGAAATGATTTGTAATAAACTTTACCCTTTCTTAATTCAAATCAAATATTAAGTTTAAATAAACCAATAATGGAAATTCCTAATTTTGAAACAATTTTCAAAAAACTTAATCCTAATTCCTAAAGTCCACTCAAATAGACAGCAAAAATCCCAACAACAATTCCTTACTTTAAAATTATTTGCAGGAAACTTTATCCTTCCTCAATTCTCTATCAAATTATATTTAACAACTATTCACCAATGTGGAGGTGGTTAGTGGTGGATATTTCCCGAGCCGCGAAGCGGCGAGGAAAATATCCACCGCTAACCACCGACACTGAGGTGAATAGTTGTTTTAGTATATACTAAAACAGTGAGATAATATACACCACCGTCGTTAATTTGAGTGATTTCTTAGCTTGTCACAGATGCAAACCGGGACGCCATTTTTTCCTGAGTTGCTCAGAGTAAATAGCAAAGGATATTCAGAGTTTGACTAGCCAATGAGAGCGCACCTTTAACACTATCCACTGTTTTAGCATATACTAATAAACATTAGCTGGACTTAAATTTCAAGGTCAGCCAAGTTGTTAACATAAAGCTTCTCAAAATATATCTAAGACTTCCAATAGAAATATCAAGTATTTCTAAAGTGATGCCAACTATGCTCAATCACACAGTATAACTGTTACAATATATTTACTTCATATTCTTCTCAGCCTTTATTATGGAACTATAATTGCCAGCTGCCTATAATTATCAGTAACAAGCAACATAACCACTTGCAACTCAACCACTAGAACTAATAGCCCATTGTACAGTTGTCTGCTTGGTTGCCAAGCCTTTGAATGGGAGTGAGGCCAGGGTTGACCTTGTTAAGATACCAACCTTGCTGCCTTTCAAATGTAAATCACTTTGTTATCATGCTTAGTACATACAGGTCTCTATGACAACAAGGTAACCTTCAGCCTCACTCTGGATCAAAGGGTTGGCAACTAAGTACACAACTGTCAAATGGCCTATTTAGTAAATCCACATGTCACAACATAAATGTGAAGTGGAATTTCCTTTACTCACCTGGGACATCTGAATATACTCTGTAAATCTTATTCTCCAGCTCCATAACACTTCTCATTCCTTCAACTGTAAAAGGATTCCCTCGCACAGACAACTTTTTGAGTTTCTTCAGCTGTTTTATGGCTGGACTCAACACTTTCAACTGGTTGTAACTCAGATCCAGTCCCTCTAGTCTCACCATCTCACCAATAGCATCAGGGATAGTGGTTAGTTTGTTCTTTAAGATGTCCAGCCTTTTGAGTTTCTTCAGCTGTGTCAAACTTTCAGGGAATACAGACAGCTGGTTTCAACTCATGTTAAGTACTGTAAGATTCTTTAATTCTCCGACATTTTCAGGTATTGTTGTAAGTTTATTCCATGACAGGTCGAGTTCCTTCAACTCAGTCAATTCGAGCACAGCTGCGGGAAATTCGTGCCAACAGTGCCATTTGAGATTTAAACTCTTTCTTCCAAAAGATGTTTTCACCTTTCTTGTTAATTCTTCATTAGAAAGGAATGCCATTTTGTTCATAGGAAACTGTCAGAACAAAAATACAAGCTATCACTAAAGGTGAGTAACTTAAACTAAGTTGCTTTCATTGGTATTATTACCTGAACCAAAAATGGCAAAAAATTAACTAAGCGAATGATTTATTTTTCTTAGTACAATCTTTGGAAGCTATCCACCCTTCAGTATTCTTTTCAACACTCTGTAAAAGCTCTAGTTATTTATTTTCATGTCAGACATTTTCACTTAAGTGTTTTTGTTTAACTCTTTTCTGGTCATATACAAGTACTTGAGTTCTATATGTTAACAGGAAGGCTATTGTGAACCAGAAAAATATTTGAATTTTAACACAGAGTTCTCAAAGCTGATTTTACAAGGACATACAGACTACTTTTATTGAAAACATTAATATCCAACAGGAAAGAAATCATTTGTGCAGATGCATGGCTAGTTATGTTTTTATGCGATAACCTTAGACAGTTATAATATAAACCAAAACATGAATGATTTTTAAGCTGAAAATAATCAGAGCAAGTAGCTATTTTCAGACCTATTATTTTATTTTATCCTCTTTAAGTTACTTTTATTTGCATCTGAAACCGTGAATTAATTAGAAGATGTTCCTTGTTTTTTAATAGAAACTGATGTGATAAGTTCTTCTCTATCTTACATATTTCATTGTTTGTATTAAAAAAAAATCAGAAAGAGGGCTTTTCTTGTTTTCTTTTCTTTTCATAGAGTTTGTCAGCCAGAGTTTGTCTGCTATTGAGACCACAATTTTCAATTCAAGACACGTCTTGCATAAAATCTAAATCACCAACAGTTAATTGCTGCACATGTTATGTAACGTAATCATGTGGTTGGTGTAATAAACATAATTTCAAAGATTATAGAGAATTGGTAATAATTTTTTGTTTATGCTTAAAGTATAACTAACTAGGGAATGGTAAAAGAAAAAATATATAACTATCAATAAAGAAAGGACAGTGATTAAGAACACATTTAGTACAGCCAACTCTCCCATAAAAGAATAAAGGGGGTAATAAACTGAATCAAATCGAACATGCATTCATTTTGTTATTTTACAAACCTTGGCGGTTTCGAGTTCATTTCTAACTTCTCTCAGGTAAAATCAAGTACGATCCGTGGAATTAAGCGAAAATTTTGTCATCATTTCAAATGCTTAATTTGTTATTGCTCATTGTGTAAAACTTTTAACTGGACGTTCAACAACTATCGGACAGAATAATTATGACGACGAGAGCTGATTGACGTCAACACGATCAGAAACAGTTTCTCCCGTACTTTCCATATCAATTTTCCCATTACAAAGGCTATCTTAACTTAACAATCACTGTTTTCCTTTTCCTGTTGCTTAGAGTTTCTACTTCAACCCGGCTGTTACTGAACGCCGACTGATCGCTTATCAAGATCCTCCAAGATCGATGTCGAGAGTGCTCTGCATTTGAAGGGCGTCGCTAAAGTATGAACTACAGATCAGAATCCAATAAAATTAAAATGCAAAGGGAAAGATATACTATTGGAGATACCAGAGAATTAGCTTAAACCGACGGGAAATGACGGGAAAACAAACACTTGGGGAAAATGACTTCAGCTCGATCTAGCGAAGAGTTTGAGCTCGCTACACTTAACGTTTAGGTTAAATTCAAACCTGTGTTGAAAATAAAACTTACTTCTCAGTAAAGTCAACAACAACCGCTGCAAATAATAGCGAAATCAAAGAAAGATTGTAGTCAATCTTTCTGTTCAGCCCTTCGTTACTCCCCAACTCTTACATTAGTTTCGATTGACATCACGATCCTTCTCACATTACTACACCCTTGCAGCCGTTTTTAGTCTCGTCACGCAACGCTCCTCCCGCGGAAAGGAATGTTGTTCGAATGTGAGGAGCCCTTCGTGGGGAGGAGCGTTGCGTGACGACACTAATAACGGCTGCGAGGGAGACTATCTCATACGTCATTCGACTGAGCATTGACGCGAAGAAGGGGATGCATAGGTAGACTAGAACNCTATTGAGACGGGTTTGGTGGATGATTTCTGGTCATCAAGAAATATTTTCTAGCAATCAGCTGTGCAGGATATTTTTTTCCTTTCTAAATGCTCTTTTTTTTTCTGTTACATTTGGGCTGCAAGCAATTTTTTTCTTCCAACAAGCGCTTGCATTATTTTTTTTTTTCAAAATCTCCCTCCCCACCCCCCTCAAGAGTTAAACGTTCGGCCCCTTAGACGTGAATGTGGCATAACTGTTCCACACAGGTGGCAGAAAACCTTTAAAATTTTGAAATGTGGCAAGAGAATAACAGAATTTCAGATGGCTTTTCTTATTATCGACTTTCTAGATCTAGAGCTTTCTACGACTTCATTTGCGAAGCAACATCTGCGAAAACTTTGATTTCTTAATTGTTGCTCAAGAGATACTTTAGACCAGTTCTTATATTAATTAATCTGACTATAAGCTATTGCGGAAAACAAAAAAAGCAAGTCGACATCATTTTATAAAACTTGCACAGCTACAGAATTAAAAAAAAGGAACGAAAACTTAATAGACTCTTTGATCTCAGCTTAACTTTACAAAGCCTTGTGCTGCACTTTATTCATACTCTCACTGATAAGAAGTCTTGTTTCTTAGAATTTTTTTCTGTCAATTGTGGCCGTGAAATATCGTAAATATCGCCTTCCAAAATCGCACCGTTGTAAAACATGACCAAAATTTCTATCATTAAAAAATGATAGCTAGAAGTAGACTCTTTAAAATATTTACTTTGATTTTCATAGAAGGCCTCTATTTGTTGTAACGCTATGATGGTTGAGTTATGCTTTAAATCTACTGTCCTTCGAAGTTTGAGGGCTTTGTTGTGCCTTTAAACAGATCAAATGAAAAAAACTTGACCTATTCGGTATATCTTAAGTAGAGGAGTAGTCTTTAAGACTAACTTCAAAATAAATAAAAAGCAATTGATAGCGCCATGCAATTAGAGGTTTACTCTGGATTAATGATTCGTAGCAACTTTTCTCTCAATTGTTGATAACTGAATAAATGTTAAAAATATATTTTGGACGTTATAAATGGTATGAGAAGAAAAATTTGAACTTGCATGATTTATCATACTCCTTTTCTGCTCTGAGAAGTGATATCTCCAGGACTTTATAACTTAGCGCCGCACAGGTGTTCCCATTTGGGTTGTAATTTTTGTCTACAGGGCGTCTTTCCAACAATAGGGACCTTAAGCAAACCACCAGGATGACAGCAAGGACGTGAAAAAACAAAAGATTTAATTGACAGAATGGCGCAGCACGTGCGGTTTACATCTCTTTACATTTCTTAGCCGTCCTTTGCAAAACAATAATAATAATAACGAGGAATCCCCAAAATTTGCGTCGTCTGCTAACAGAAACCGCGACGGCAAACATTTGTAATTTCCATTTGGAACTCAACGCTACTGTTTCACGTTATGCTGTAATTGAGGTGTGGCTATGTATGAGATGGTAAACACATGCAACCATTTTCGAAATTCCAATTTAAAGTAGAAATTCATTTTCGTGCAACTTTCATTCACGCTTAACTGAAAAAAAAAAAAAACAATATTGTCCTTAATGCTGGAATATTTCACATTTGTAATTACTGGTCACGGAACCTTAATAAAAACAAT